TCTTTTTAAGTGGGAGAACTTGCACAATTGGTGACTGACTAAATACTTATTTTCCCCACTGTATATCGTTTATATCGCGCATTCCTGGTCTAGATGGACCATGCCGAGGCTTTCACTACAAATGCTGGTTGAAGAATGGGATCCTGTTTTGCAGAAGTGCGTGACAAAGCTGGTCAGTAGCTTAAGGAGGAGGAGGAGCCGGGCTGGTGTGGCTATATATGGTTCTTCCACATGATGCTGAGGTCCCCGGTTTGTGAAATGCATAAATTGGTAAAGTGGCAAGACATCTTGTTTCTTCACACATGAWTCATCCAGTCCAATAAAACACAAAACAATCGTTGATAGCAGTTTTGCACTTGGGGACACTTTCAAAGTTTTCCCAATTTTTCAGACTGACTGACCTTCATTTCTTAAAGTAATGACGGCCACTTGTTTTTCTTTACTTAGCTGCTTTTTTCCTTGCCACAATACAAATTCTAACAGTCCATTCAGAAGGACTATCAGCTGTGTACTGTATCCACCTTTTGCACAACACAACTGATGGTCCCAACCTTATTTATAAGGCAAGAAATCCCACTTATTAAACCTGACAGGGCACACCTGTGAAGTGAAAACCATTTCAGGTACCTGTTGAAGCTCATGAAGAAAATGCCAAAAGAGTGAGAAGCAGTAATCAAAGTAAAAGGTGGCTACTTTGAAGAACCTAGAATATAAAACATATCTTCAGTTGTTTCACATTTTATTGTTAAGTATATAATTCCACACGTGTTAATTCATAGTTTTGATGCCTTCAGTGTGAATCTACAATTTTCATAGTCATGAAAATAAAGAAAACTCTTTGAATGAGAAGGTGTGCCYAGACTTTTGGTCTGTACTGTATACGTAGTGTAATGCTAACAATTAGAATAATAAGAATAAAATAGTCACAACAAGTTGGCATAGGTTGTTGTAATGTAACAGACTTAAGTTTATATCTGGAGTGTACACTGGATATGAACTAGAGGTGCAAATGCAACTAAAAAAACTAAATATTTAAGCAAAGTATCYGTGTTAGTGTAACATTCTGTAACTTACTGCCACACATTTCCATCTGAACACTGTGTGAGTAGGAGCACATAGTGTTCTTCTGAAAGTAAAACGTTTTCATCCCAAACCAGTTAACTTCTAACTCTCAGCCGAATGAGGGGGGAAAAAAGTTAAATTGTGTGTCCCTGGCCTGATTTTAAACATCTCCAACTGAGTTCAGATGAAAACATTTCAAACATAGCTCAGAGAGTCAGCTGTCCAATCAAAGCAGGCACTTTTTTTTTTTTACCTACCCCCCATCTTCTCCAACCCGGGAGAGCAGTTTGTAATAGTGTGTGTTTTCATTTGCCCTGGTACCAGGCCAGCTGTCGAGCTGAGCTGCGTGTGTGGCAGGGGGGGAGGA